CGTGGAATCAAAAATTCATTTGGATAGATGAAAATATAGTGGCAACACAGATTAGTCGAGTACTTTATGAAGCCCTTAGGAGACTGCAGGAAACTTTCCTGTGTATGGCTTAAGTATTTGAGACATGCAGGCCGCTGAGGATGGAAACACATGCAATGTAGTCAATGGTGCAGTGTGGGGGCGGCATGGGGAGCTGAGTAGCAAAGGCTGCTTTGAGGATGTGTGCAAAAGAAATCTTTTGATTCCATCCTGACTTTGACATCGACAACACTTGAAAATAACATGGGAGAAAATCTAATTCTGTAAAGTCATACTCATAAAATGAAGAACTCACAAGAATACCCTGAGCTTTTGAACACCCACTGACACTGAATTGTGGCTGGAGACTGGGTAAGAGCAATGGTCAAAGTCTCCATGGCATGGAGTGATTACCAACTTTCTTTGTCATAGAGACACACACCTCTTTCCCAGCACACCAACATGCCAGGGCATATCTGAAGACACACACACAAATGTAGGAGGTCACAAACATCAGGTATGTACCCAGGAAACAGCACCCCCCCCATTCTGGTACAAGTGCCTCACCTTGATCCTCCTGAGAAGGGCAGGAAAGCATGGCTGTGTCGAGAGGAATCTGGTGCAAACCGGGAAGGGTCAAACACCTGCAGAAGGAGCACCAGGGCCAGGACAGGTATAATCAAGGCCCTCCTTCCAAGGGACAGCACACCCAGAGGTGGGACAGGAGAAGGAGGTTGGTCTGGAGATGTCATCCCACCCCCTCCTCCCAAGGCCATCATACCTCTGGGTTTGGCCACACTTTTGGGTTGTGGTGAAGGGCATAAAAGGAGAGCAAGACTAAGAATCCTGTGGGGGGAGAAGAGAGAAGACTGGTCATACATGCCTGCGGGGCCCAGGTGCACCCACACACAGCTTGGCAGCCACAATGAGAGCCGCTTTTCATCTCTGTGAATTGAATGATAGTGTTGCAGGAGAGGTGGGGCAGACATGGCACAGAACATGTGCCCGTGTGCCCAGATTAGTAGATAACCATGACCAGGCTGAGAAGCAGGAAAGAACTGGAGGCTTAGTTTTTGGAGCAACTCAAGGGACAACTCACATTTATCAAGTACCATCCATGAGCCCTTGGGGAATATGCATGAACTCCTCCATCCTCACAACAACCTTCCAATGAAGACTTACATCACCCTTATTCCCGTGAGGTACCTGAGCCTCGGAGAGGCTGAACAGCTCGCCTATGACCACCCAACCAGGCCATGGCAGGGCTGGGATTGAGAGCAGAGGGGAGCTGAAAGGTGGCCTCCAGCCATAGCAGGGATCACAGATCTGGCCATCAACCTGAGGGTTCCCCGGAGACTGGACCATCTGATATATCACAGTGAATAATCTCTCTCGTTAGCCAAGACCCTATAAGGAAAGACCACATCTACCCCTGCCTCATCTGATTATCTCTCAAGCACTCATAACTCAGAAAATTAGAATATTAGGGCAACTCACATAGCCACATTCAGAGGCTGTCATGTATTTATTTCTTGATCTTTGGGCCGATTTAAGCTCTGTGGAAGCACACCATAACCTCACCCAAACAAAGTAATTTTTGATTTTCTTGAGGGGGAAATGAGTCTCAAAGACAGGCACAAACTGCCCCAGAACTTGCGGATTTCTGACCTCCCACGCATTCCTGCAGAGTACTTATGGAGTGAGAGTGGTGAGGTTCACACCTTTGGGTAAGGAGCGTCCATCAGGGAAGGTGATGGGCTTGCTGAGCTCTCTGCCGACACCTGGAACTGGCGGATAGAGTCGCAGTGCCTCCTTGATGCACATGGTGGTGTAGGGCATCTGGTCCAGGTGGTCCCTAACACAAAGCTATCCTGAAGGGCTGGCAAGGCCCTGACAACCAGGGAATTCTCCAGTTGAGGGGGCAGGGCCCTCCCATCTCATGAGTACTCACCAGGTGATGGAGGCGCCGTCCCCCAGGAGGCTCTGGATCTCCTCCCGGCACCTCTGCTGATGCTCGGGGTGCGTGGCCAGAGCATAGAGGATCCAGGAGATGCCGCTGGCTGTGGTGTCATGGCCCTCAAACATGAAGGTGTCCACTTCCGCATGGAGGTCCTTGTCAGACAAGCTGTTCCCGTTCTCCCTCTGGGAGACACGGAAGGAGGGCAGGGTTTCAGTCTGCCCCCCCTCCTCCACACTTGTCCCCAAAGCCTCAGGCCTCCCCTGCCCCACTCACTTGGGCAAAGAGGAGGATGTCCAGGAAGTCCAAGTGTCTCTTGCGCCTGACCTTCTCGAGCTCTCCCTCCTCCTGCAGCTGAGCCTTCCTCAGCTTGATCACACGGTCTGTCCAGAACAGTGTTCCCAGGCAGAGCTGAGAGCTCTGGGCGCCCAGACACAGCCACCCACAGTAGCCCACCTGCCCCCTGTGCCCCAGTCAGGCTGCCAGGTGGATCAGGAGTGTGGGAATGGTGCTTCTCAGGGAGAGAGCTCTAGTGCCAGGCGCTTGCCGGTCCTCACTCCCCTGAAGAGCACAGCCCAAGGAGGCTCTGCTTGAATGCTGCTGGCAGGGGCTCTCATTCAACCTTCACCCATGTGGTGACACACGTAGCTTCCTGCATAGCACCTGGCACCCTCACAGCTGCACCAGGGGAGTACCTGGGGTGGGTGTTTCCCAGGTCCTAGAGGGGCAGCGAGGGGCAGGACTCTGCCTGGGGGGTCAGGGTCAGTCCCTTTGGGATGTGCCTGATGAAGGAGGGGAGGTGCCAGAGGGCAGAGTCCAACCTGTGTGTTGATGGGCAAGCTGGCAGGCCCGGTGGTTCCAGCGGCCTTCAGGGGTCAGCCTGTAGATGATGTCTTTCTGGTAGAAAGCATTCCTTATCCGGGAAAACACCAGGTTGTTCAGGTCCCGAATGGCCTGAAGGTAGGATTGGGAGTACCTGAAAGGGGAGGATGCAGAAGCGACTGGATGGAGGGAGGCATCTGACCTGGAGTGGAGTGGATCTGTGGGTGGAGTGTTCCTCAATCAATGGGACAGGCAAGTAGGCATTTGTCATGTCGTTCTTACACCCTCGAGACTCTCAGCCCTTTATGAGGGACGTGGGCAGCCAGGCTTCTCCCTGTGGCAGGGAGCAGGGTCTGTGCCTAAGGAAGGCTTGGTGTGGGCTGAATTTGACCGTGGCCTGGGGCTCTCTGCAGAATGTGGCTCTTTGGGCTGGTAAACATCCAAGCTGCCCTAACTGCCTCTCAGATAAGTCCACACTAGTTGGTAAGAAATAGAACCCTGCAGCTAAGGATTTCACTGACCTGTCTGCCTGGTGGTTGCCCTGGTAGCTGAAGGCACACTTCATAATGGTGTCCAACGTCATCGAGGAGATGTGTCCAAAGATCTCCAGAGGTGAGTTCTGGCTGAGGAGCTCCTCCCATTTGTCCTGTGGTAGAGGGACACGTTGGTCCTTCTCTACTCCTCCAGAAGGCCCATGTTGACAAGGCTAGACTCTCTCTCTGCCTCTCCTCATATTCTGATGAGGTGCCCTCACTTTCTAAAGCGGTTGTGTTTCATCAATTTAGGACCATATAGCCAAGTGTTTGTAATACAGTGAGTGTTTTCTCAGAATATACTCTGAGGAAGTTGTTATTTGTTATTTAATTAATCACGATCGCTTATAGTCTGACTTAGGAATAAGTTTGGTGATAACCACCTTTTAGCAGACCAGAAAACATGTTTCTCAGGGGCCTGAGGGGGAATCTTTTCTGTCCTGGGGTTGATCTACACATGAGAAACCAGTGAAGTCCCAATTTAGGGAGCAAGAGTCAAGGCAAAGGAAAGGTCAAGGGGCCAGTCCTGCGGTTCCTAAGGAAGGGATATCAGGGACCTCAATTCCTCTTATTCAGCAAATGTCAGTTGAGCACGATGAGTGAGAAATAGGGTCATGTTCAGAGGTGATGTTATGGCAGGACCCAGCCCTGGAGGTAGAGACCTGGGCTCCATTTCCCTCCATGGAGTGGCTAAAATCCACCAGAAGCCTTCAGCCCCAGGCCAGAGTCCACCTGAGTGACATCGTGGGATGTCCACCCTGCCACTGAAGCTGCTACTACCCAGGCCAGCCAGGGGCAGCTTGTCCCGTTGTCCAGGGGCTTTGACTACTCTTCCTGTCCAAGCCAAAGGCACAGAAGCGGGAGGAGAAGGGACCCTTTATCTACCATGACTGTCTCTCCTGTGGGCAATGAGCAAAGAGTGGATGAAAGCAGGTGCCTGGGTGCTTTCTTGTTCCATCCATCCCCAGGGAGCCCTGTCTCATAGTATGGTACAAGTGGGTGATTCCAAGGGCCAAGTCTAATAGATGTCTGAGGGACACAGCTGTCTGAGAGTGGACTTTGTGGACTGTGCTGTGGGTGTGAGTGTGCAGGTGAGGAGGGGTTGAACTTACCAGCATCACTCGGACAGAATCGGCCATGAGTCCCACGTAGGGCTTCAGGATGTCATAGTGGAAGGCTGGGGTCAGCATCCGCCTGTGCTGGAACCACGCTTGCCCATTCAACAGGAGCAAACCATACCCTGGACCACAATGGGTGTACGTGTGAGGAAGGAACCTCCCAGGAGTTGCCTGGGGACAACTGGGGAGGAACCCAGAGTGTCAAAAGAAGGGCATCCTGGGCAAGGCAGGAAAGGCCAGTGCATGTCAGGAAAGGGACTTCCCAATGCCTGGTGCGCAGCTGTGAGGTTGAGGTTGAAACAGAGCAGGGCTGGGTAAACAGAGGACTTCAGTGAAAAGTTAGGCTGAGATCATTGGCGAGGACTCAGAAGTGATGGGGGAGAAGCTGACCTGCAAGAGGGCTCCCCTACCATAAGGAAGGTGTGAGGTTTTTATCAGAAGAAGAGAAAGGGGGCTCAATTCAGAGTTGAGTGGAGTGACTGTGGTACCAGTCACCTCTTATTTAATCTGGGCCAAATGGATAGATGTTGGCAAACCTAAGCAGGAGGTGAACCATATTCCTAGTTAAATGTACTTACCTATCCAGGGAGCCATGAATCTGTAGGAAGCATCAGACTTTGGGTCTGAAAGTAAGAAGGGCATTACAGGAAACTGGAGGTGACCAACGAAGACAGGCTGCCCTCAGGAATTAGCTGTGGTCCAGACCATTGTCCCCGTCCCTTCCTGATGATTGTCAGCTGGCAGATTGTGTCAACCCACCTCCCACTTGCCTCCCAACCCAGACTCTCTTTCTTTCTTGATTGTTACTGTGGGCTCAGGAAGGCAGACTTAGTGTCCCACAGCAGAGCCCTATGGAGTAGGAAGTTGAATCAGCAAGAAATACAGCTTCTGTCCTCAGTGGCAGTGAAAAGACTGTAGCTTGTCTGGTGTTTTTTGTTTTGTTTTGTTTGTTTTGTGTTTGTTTGTTGTTTTCTTTATTTTTGTGGTTGGCCAGTCATCCCATGTCCCAGCACAGGCAACGGGTAGGGGTTCCACCTAAGCCATCATGGATAGGAGATTGTCTTGTGTTCTGGGGTCACACCACAGTGGTGAAGAGAGTTAGAAAGAAAGAAGGAAAGAATGAAAGGTGGAAAGAAGGAAAGGTGGAAAGGAAGAAAGTTGGAATGGAGGGAAGGAAGGAAGGAAGGTAGAGGGAGGGAAGAAGGGAGGGAGTGAAGGAAGGAAGGAAAGAAAGAAAGAGAGAGATAGAGAAAAGGAGGGAAGAGAAAGAAAGGAAGAAAGAGAGAGAAAGAAGAGAGAGAGAAAAGAGAGAAAGAGAAAGAGGTAATCCCTCACAGGTGTTTAAGCATTCAAATTGAGTAACTTGTATTTGGGCTTCTGCTGGCTCTTGGGCTGGGAGGATGGCAGATAGAGGGTCAGATATTGATGACTGAGCCAGCAGTCCCTTCTGGAATGTCACAGTCCCCCAGGCATGTATCCAAGTGGGAAAAGCCACTCCAACAGACAAATGGGTTTGCTCTCACCTGATCGCCCCAGGATCACCTTCATGTAGTCCGGGTCATAGACTATGAGGCTAACCTTGCTTCCCCATAGCCAGCGAGGACTGGCACATGGATATTTCTCTGCCCTTTTCTGAAGCTCTTGTAGCTCCTGACCGTTTTGGAGCTGTAACCAAGGGAAAGACAAATCAATAAAACCTTGCTTCCTCTTCAGGTCCACTGTTTGGAGTGGTGGTGGCGGGTAGGATGGCCACATGGAGATAGTTCTGGATATCGGCAGTGATTCAGAGTTTGGAACGGTTTCTGATGAGCTGGGCTCTGATTGGGATTCCAGATTCATGACACTTCTGTTCTAGTGGGAGTGGAGGTGGGGAAGTTAATCGAGCCCTACACTGAGAAGTGTTGTCCAATGACTTAAGGAGGCTACTCTGAGCTCCCAGGTCATGTCCATCACTGGGGCTGCCCTTCTCCTTGGATCCAGTGCAGGGACTGCATAGGGGGAGCCTCTCACCATGAAGCTATGTTACCTCATCCTCCAGGATCCCCCCAAACCTGTGCAGCAAGGGCCCCTGGGGGATCCTGTTTCCGCACAGTTGCATGCCTCCGGTTTGATTGCTTTCTCCCCAAGCCAGTCAGCTTCCAGAAACTCCTGCTCCTGGGTAGTGTCAGTAGTTCCTCTGGGGAGCCCCAAGGAGCTAGATGGTGCTCTGCCCGGCTCTTCCTCTCTCTGGGTCACTCTGACACCCACTGGTCCGTCAGTCTTCCAGACAACCGCTTGGGACTGCCATCTCTCCCTGCGCAGGTCTGGCCAGGGCCAGTTGACACTCTTGTAGAGGAGTTGGTGCCCGTGGTGGCAGTGGCAGTAACCCTAAAGGCTGATACTCAGTGTCTACTGGCTTTCAGGCTGTGGCCACTCATGCAGGCAGTGCTCCACTACAGCTGTT